GACACTAGAGAGAATGCAGCTTTAACACATGAAGCTTTAGCTTCACTCTTAAGAAACGGAGATTGCTGCCTGGTTGGATCCCAGCACCTAAAGTACTGAGCTGATCAAGAAATTAGGTTTTCAGAGCTTTTTAAGCTCACGTCCTAAACTGGGTAAATGTTGACCGAATGTAAACATGACCAGCTGGAAACATTAGCTTCTGTCTCACAGCCTCCTATCGACAACCAGCAGGTCACGTTTGCATGTTTTATAAAGTTTAAAAGTCCAAATCGACTCGCATGGAGTTCCAGGTCTTTGCGTGTGAATGGATGCAGATAAAGACGTGAGGTAACACTAAATGTTTGGCTCTGCACTCTGCATGCAGTCGTGTCAGTAAGTGGGTTGCATGGACTAATTGGAATTAGCGAATGACTTAATGGGAGTGATTCAGAGTGTAAGTAACCAGAAGTGTCCACAAGTGATACTAGTGGAGGCTCTACGTGTTATGAATAATACAGTACTTTTACAAAATTTTTATAGCCTCTACTTCAGCATCTCCTCCTCTCCTCTTCTCCTCCTCTCCTCCTCTCCCGTCCCCTCTCCTCCTCTCTCTCGCCTCTCCTCTCCCCTCCTCTCTCCTCCTCTCCCCTCCCCTCCCCTCCTCCTCTCCTCTCCTCTCTCCTCTCCTCTCCTCTCTGTGTTCACTTCCTGTAGTTCAGTCAGAATTTCTCCTCCTTGTAGTCACATGACTGTTGGTCACAGATGAATCAATCATGACTTCATAGTTTCACAGTTTAATGTTTTTACACTCTGGTTAAAGTCAACGCTTTATTAGAGGAGACATTTATAATGAGAACATGTAGAATAAATGTTTAGATGAGGTGTCACCTTTTGAGGCTTCGTTTTGGTTGATTTTTCTGACGGAAGCGTTCGTCACACATGATGTGTTCAAAGACCGTCAGAAAGAGAAAAATCTGATGATAATGACGTTTTTACGTGGTGTAGTTTCGGCGATGGTTTAAACAAAACATAGGTTCAGAGTGTTAAAGAACAACTTCATTTATACTTAAAAACAAGAGATATTACTTCATAACTTGTTGGCAGAATCATAATCTGAGACCCGTTGCTTATTTTGATGAAGATGACACAAGCGTTGTTTGTATTATGGTATTTTATCAAAAGATCTTGGTTTTTAGAGCACAAACAGTTTAGTTTAGGTCTTCTGGGGAAAGAAGGTAGAAGTTCATATTTTCATAATTTATTGAAAAAGTTATTTAACATCAGCAGGTGTGAAAAGCTAATTGACTCCTTCGTTGAACCAATAAACCAAATTGAACCGTAAATTGGGTTCAATCACACTTGATTACTGCCAAACTGTTCAATCTAAGCATCACTTCAATACAACTTCTCCAATAATGATGCACTAATACCACTTTTTTTCCACAACAATACAAGTACGAGTACTTATGTGAGTACTCAATAATACCATTACACTTGTTAAAATGTGTGTTTCTGTGTGTGTGTGTGTGTGTGTCAGAAACTGAAGGACGTGGAGTCCATCATTGAGATCGTGGAGCTGAACGGAAACGACCTGGTGAAGGATTACTCGGATGAAATTGAGCGGATGTTGGGAAGCAAGATGAAGTCGGTGAAGGTGAGAACGAAGAGGATTCCTACATTTCCCAGAATGCAAATCGCCAGTGTGTTCTCAGCCCCTTTTGTGCTCAGTCCTTTCAAACTCCCATTTCTCTCAATTTTGTAAATCATTTAGTATTTATTATTAATTAAAAAAAAATCTCCTAATCCAATGTGAGATAACCCCGGTGACCTCACTATGACATCATCGGCGTAGTGGCCCTTTAAAACGACTGGGACTGACTCTGGGATTACTGGGATTGTGACTTCTTGTCCCAGTTAATAATGCAACACAAAAACACAAGGGCTTAACTGCTTTGGTCGCTCACATCTCTCTGTCTTATGTAACCTATGATGATGATGATGATGATGATGAATTAGACATTACTTCATTTAAATTCTTTTTCTGTTTCTTGTCTCAGAGGTTGGCGGAGTCGGCAGAGGACGCCGATCTGTACCACGACTACAATGCTTCGATGCAGGTCGGTTTCTCTTCACAACCGACCAGCGCTCCTTTGTTTTTATTTCTTTTACTCACACACTCAAACCTGCAGAGATCTGAAACCAAGCCAAGCTCAGATAATCCATCAACCCTTTAACTGGCCTAAGCGCTAACGCTAACACTAGCATGCTAACAGTTTGCAGCTCAACAGCCGGTCGAAGCTTTAAAGCTTCACCTGAGATTAGATCAAAGTCCCCCGATCCTGTGAGGAAACTGGGTTAACGCTGCAGCAGAGAAGCTACACACAAGACATATAAACATTTAGAAATATGCAAATATACTGAAGCACATGTAGGTAAAGACTTTTCAACTGCTATATTATATATATATTATATATGTTGAATACATATTATATTCAACATCATATTTATTTTGTATTATAGAGAGACACCTTGTGCCAAAGTCTTCCGATTTTTTAAGGTGTTTTATGGCGACGCTGCTCGGTGGAGAATAGACATGTCCTCCGCTGCATCTTATTCTGAAAGGATTCTTCTTCCTGTCTCCCGTCAGTTCGATTACTACAACTCCATGCTGATCAACACGGCAGACGAGGACGGGAACAGCGTGGAGCTGGGCGGAGACTTCCCTCTGGAGGAGAACGAACACTTCAACAACCTGCGAGTGAACACGCTGCTCAGCGACATCCAGATCCCCACCAACGTCTACAACAAAGGTCAGAGGTCGTCCTTTACGTCTGTCTAAAACAGCTCCTGTGAGGCTTAGCTTCTAACGACCGTCCTCTGTGTGCAGACCCCAACATCCTCAACGCCATCTACAACTCTGAGGCGTTAAACGACATCTTCATCGGCAACTTCCAGAAGGATCCGACGCTCACCTGGCAGTTCTTCGGCAGCTCCACTGGCTTCTTCAGGATTTACCCCGGTTAGTCTGAGCTTTAGCCTGAACTTTAGCCTGAGCTTTTGTCTAACATTCAGTCTGAGCTTTAGTCTAACATTCAG